GGTCCCGCCCTCCCCGGGGCCCCCTGCCATAGCTCCCTCTGAGGCAGAGTCGCCTGTGGCAGTGCTGGTCACTGGGGCTGGAACAGGGGGTGCGTGAGCTTGGAAATGGGGTGCAAGGGTGCTTTCCCAGCTGGGGAGGGCTCCCTGCCACAGATGCGGGGAACCCCTGCTCCAGGTACCCTGTGAGAATGGAGAGGGAGTGCATCAGCCACAGCGGGGAGCTGGCAGAAAGGGGGGTAAGTGCAAGGAGGAACACAGAGCACCTTGCCACGTGACTGTCCCCAGGGCTTGGCGTCCCGGGGGAGCCCCTCTGCCATGGAGCCGGCGTGCTGCCACCCACAACGGCCGCAGCTCTTGGATGCCGGAGGATGTGGCTCGACAGAGGCAAGGCAAACGCCGCGGGCAGGGAAAGGAGTTTGTCGCCTTATTTACCCCCAACATTTTCCAGAGGAACCCAGCATGATAGGAGCAGGAGGAAGGACACAATTAATTAGAGAAGACACAGTGCCCAGAAGCAGGGGATCTGAACAAGTGGAAACTCCCAGCTCGCACCTTCACATCCAAAGCTGGTGGTGACCTTTAGCTGGCTCCGCCACTGATAATTATTGTACGTGAAAATCTACATTCAAAATTGGGTGAGAAGGAACCTGCCTGGGCTGGAAAAACCTGTGCCGTAGAGGAAATGTCAGAAGGCCTCCAACCAAGCGGCCCTCTCCAGCCCATGCATTTGCAGGCTTCAAAATTGACTGGCTTCTTCACTTAACCGAATCTCCTTGCTAAATGTCGGCTCCTGGTTTCCACCAGCCTGAGCTGACGGACCAGAGAAAGCAGAGCATGGATGAACTGGGAAAGGTCACACAACTTAGGGCAATGCTCAGGAAGCATCCGCACCCCCTGCGGCTAGCTGGGCTGCCCATGGCGCCTTTTCATTTGCAGGAAAAGGCATTTGATTAAGGTGAAAGAGTCATTTTGGGGAGCTGCCGGGTCCCACGTGCCACACCACCCCCAACAGGTGTCCCCAGGGACGGTTGCACACAGGGTACAGCAGGGGCAGGCACTTAACCCCTCATCCTCAGGATTTCCCCCTGCAACCAGTCTCTGTCACCCCAGCCACATAGGGCAGCCCCAGTGTTGACAAGGACATGTGACCACCTTCACAGGGCTTTTGGGATGCAATCAGGGGAGCATTGCTGCTCAGTCCCCAGCAAAACCAATTTTCTTTACTAATATTATTTTGGCTTTAACTCCAGCTGCTGCAAGTACGCCAGAGTGAGACATGGCCCAAGGGCAAAGCCCCGCATTAGTGGAGGAGGGAGTGCTGCAAACCCCTCCTCGGAGCTACGGGGAGGACAGTGACCCCTGAGCCAGCAGCACAGGGCTGAGCACCCAACCAGCTGGCTGCCAAGGGGTTTTCCAGCTGCAGGGAGTGACTGCACATCTGGAGAGAAGCCCACCAAACTCCAGACACACATTTACTGGAGTTAAACAACATGGCTGTGCTTAGTCCTGCTCAGACCTTTCCTCGTGAGAGCAGCTGGGAGCTGCAGCTCGGAGCACACCCTGCTTCACTTGTCAGGAAGCTGCTCCAGTGCGAGGCTGGCTGTGCAGAGCTGGCTGGTAGCCTCACAGCAAATTTTGCTGGGTATGAAGCCATGCCCTGCCAGGGATGCTGCTGCCTGAGGATGCTCTTTGAGAGCTGCGTAGATGCTGCTGCCCAGGAAAGCTCCTGCCCCCTCTCCCCCGCAGCTCTCCCTTCCCTCTGCTAGCAGGAGACAGCCCCAGGGGGCACAGCCGCTGGGGTCTTCTCTTTGGCAGTCCTGTCCCAGGGCCTGGGGCTTCTTGGCTGCAGCGCAATGTGGCTCCAAGGCTGCCAGGAGCACAGCAGAGGCTGAGCTGGCAGGGGCTTTGGGACCCCCTGAGATGCTTCTGCTGCTCCAGCCCAGGGCGGCGGGGGGACGGCTGCCCCAGGGCTGGGGGTGATGATGCCATGTGCCCGCTCTGCCCTTGGGACACTCATGTGGGGACAACACACAAATGTCACCTCCCCACCCTCGCCGGGGCCTGGCCAGCCCCATGGCTACTTGCCTGCGGCCGTCCCAGCTCATCCCGGTGGCTTTTTGTCCCCATGCCACCAACTGGAGACAGGCTAGACACAATGGTTTTAGGGCTAGAAAAAATACTACCCGTCTTCCCACACTGGCCATCGGTTTTCTGGGGATCTTCATCTTGGGGAAGGGACAAGCAGGAATCTGGTGTTTGCACCTTTCCAGGATGAATGGTTTGTCCCGAGGTATCTCTGAGGCTGGTCCAGAAGAATTCAGTCTGTAAGAAACCCTCCAGGCAGGCTTTCTGTTTCCTGGCAAATGAGCTGTTTGGTTTGACCAGAACCTATTTTTTATCCTACATTTATACAATGAGAGGCTGGGAGAGCAGAGCTAGCTCAGCCTGCAGAAGAAAAGGTGAAGGGGGGGACCTGGCTGGCTCCAGCTGCCCAAAGGAGTTAGGATGCACCAAGCCCTCCCACAACGGACGGCAGCAAAGATATTCCTTGCTTCTTTTGACTGGGCAGCATGAAGCAATAGAAGGAAAGCAAAGTGGAGCTAATGGGCTATCCCAAGGGGCTTTCCCCCAGCAATTGCTGGAATAACAAATGCCACTTCTGGCACGTCAGCCTTGGATTTCAGGAAGGGCAGGAAAAAGCCTCCTTAGGAATCCAGCTGCTGCTCGTTTGGCCACCCTCTGAATTGTCAGCGGCAAATTATGTTCTATTAAATCAAATTTGCCTCTCTCTAAAAATAGCTCCCCTACTAGTGTTACAAATAACACTGGATTACCCTGCCTGAAAGCACTTACCGGGACGCGGACCCTCTCCCTTCTCGCTCCGTGCCCACCAGCCGCGTGCGTGGGCTTTGCCGTTTTGCCAGCACCGGCGGTGCGGCGTGACTCAGGACGGCTGAAGTGGCTGGGGGAGGATGGAGAGGGGGGAGCTGGGAGGGCTCCAAGCACCTTCCAAACTCTCCTGAGGGATCAGCTAGTGCCGGAGCCCTCAGGAAGCCCCCGCATGGAGCATCCTGTCAGCCCCGGGGCTGGGTGAGGGAGCTGAGGGCTGGGCGAGGGGTGATGAAGGAGGTGCCGCAGGAAGCATCACCGGGTGCAGGCACAGGCGCAGCTTGGTGGGAGCCAGGGCCCAGCCATGTAGGGCCTGAAACACTCATGTCAACACAGGAGATGTGAGGCTGAAGCTGGCAATGGGCCTGTCCCTGCTGGGGACCAGGGCCCGGGCAGGCAGTGGCAGGGCCAAGCCATGGGCAGCGGGCATGTCTCGGTATCCACGAGAAAGGGCTGCCCACGGGCAGCCCCAGTGTCCTGGGCTGGGGGGCTCCTGGGAGCAGCAACGGGAGGGCAGAGGAGCTGTTTTTCCAACCAGCCACCCCTGCCCATGAGCCTGCCAGCCATCCCATGGCCATCCAGCACTGCCAAGGACAGAGGACACAGCTCCTGGGCTGCTCCCCTGGCACGCACACAGTGCCATGGGGCTTGCTGTGGGTTTGGGAGGGCTTGTTCCACCAGCACCCACCTGCCCTCTCCCGGACCAGAGCTAGTGATGGAGACCTAATTCTGCCCAAGCTGAGGCAGAGCAGCCATGGGCAGTGGGACGGCAGCCTCCAGGTGCCGGCAGAAGAGCAGCTGCTCTCGCAGAGCCTCCAGCCTTCCACTGGCTCCGCAGGGCGGTGCAGATGGGGCTGCAAGCACATGCCCTGCCTGCAGGAGATTTCTGCTTCAGATGACCTTTGGGAAGGAAAAACGTTGGCTTCTCAAGCTTCAGGAGATGGTTTGAGGAGGGAAAGCTCCTGCTGTGCATATGCACGCTTGCACGTGCAGAGACTGTAGCTCTCCAACAGCAGCGGGGTATGGCACAGCCCGAAGCCAGGCTCTTCCCTGCATCCCTGGCTGGGCCTGCTGAAAGCCATACTCACTCACATCTTCTCCCACGGCAGAAGCACAGTGGGTCCCTGCAGGAATGGCATTTTCCAGCCCGCCCGCCCCATCTTTTGGAAAGATCAGCCTATTTTTGTGTTGGGCTTGGGAGAGGCCCCTGAAGCGGTGGGTGGAGTGTAAATCCCTCCTGTCCCACTGCAGCAAACAAACCCCAAGAAAGTCACGCTCAAACTATTTTCTGCAATGACAGGAGAACGCACTTTTCTGCATTTTGCCAGCCCGAGAGGACACTCGGGATCTGCTTTTTCCATTCTCCCTGCCTGTTGCTCTCTACACATTCCCCTGGCCCTTTGCCTACCCACCCACCCACGCAGAGCCAGGCATGCTGTTTGGGTACCTTGCATCAACTTTACTTTGGGTACCGAGTACCCTCGTGGCACTGGAGCAATGAAACGTGCTGGCAGGACGCACCGGAGCACCCAGGCAGGCAGCTGCCCATGAGCCCACAACCGCTGGCCCTGAGCACCTCTCATGGGTGAAGGTGCTCC